AAGTTGAATTAAAAGGCCAATACATTAAAGAATGGAATTTTTAAATAAAAATTTTAACAAGCGAAAATAGGTTTGATTTTAAGTTCAGTAAAAAACTAAAATTGTAATTCACACATATATCTTTAGTCGAGGCTACCTCGGTTTGTTATAATGGTTAGCGCGCTTATTTCGCTAGAACTGTTATTAGTGAGTTCGATCCTCACTGGGTGCCTCATTCTTTCAGCCTTGTATCACATCTAAGCTACGCTACGCTTAGAAAATCGCCATTTTTTTTTTTAAATTAAAACCAGAAACTCCTTGTGGCTACTTAACAGAGGTATTTTGAAAGCTACTTGACTTATAAAAGTTTGATAAGTCACTTGCAACAAGGAAATAACATTTCATTGGGTGTTCAAACATCCCACAGTACTAATAGTGGGCGTAACAAAGATATATATTATTACAGAAAATCTTTACGGCCATATGCAGGTAATTTGCACAGATCTTATTACTTAGTCAAAAAGATTCTTTAGTTACATGAGAGAGTTACTCAGAAAGCTATATGATTCATAGATGAACGCTTTTGCTTTGATCATCCACCCCATGCAAGGCGATAATGCCGCTAAGACGCACTATGTTACTGGGAGTGACAGATAAAGAGAACACTTTAATGAGGAGAAAGGGCAATAAAAAAACAGGGTTCAGGAAGACAGAAAATGGCGATTGGCGTTGCATTTACATTTTTGAAGAGCAATGTTGACTGGAAAGCACGAGGTCGGCTGAGATTTCCTCGAGCGAGAGGTGCAAGAGAAGAAACTATTAGCATAAAACTTACGGTTGCATCTAACCATTTCAACTGTAAAACTATAAGATTTAGTATCCAAACTAGAACATGCTTAAATCCACGCGGTCGATATACGAGAGAGCTCATTGGAACATCCGCCATGCAAATATAAAAAAGATAGACAGAAGGATGGTGAGAAGTCGAGATGCTGGGTCAAGACCGATAACGTTACAGATCTTTCTTTGGATTTTGTCGAGAGTCTTGACAGGAGCACCAGACCAGATATGGTAACTATATTCGATGCGTGGACGAATGGCGAATTTACAAATGTGCAAAATGGATTCTGACGCGAAAATTTGTTTAGCACGGTACATTGAACCAATCTCCTCAGCTGCAGGCCTAGCAATTGTTTCAATATAATCACACCGCTTCATATCAGCAGAAAAAACTTGAAACAAAGAAGACGTAACGAGTTGATCTACTGGAGGGCTACCATCAGCCATATTGATGGAGGGCAAAAATAGTTCTCTATGATGATTGGAGGATAGTTTCGTTTTGGGGACTTTCAAATTTACATAACATTTGCATGGAGTATTGCTACCATATATGGTCTGGTGCCCCTTATGTTTGTCTCGGGGTCCTTGATAGGCTCCAGAGGCGGATATGCAATATAATTGGCCCTGCTCTGGCATCTCGTCTATAGTCACTTTCTCACAGACGCACCGTCGCCTCTCTCTGTCTTTTTTACAAATACTTTCATGGCAATTGCTCTGAGGAGCTGCATTCGCTGGTTCCCAGACGTCATGAGATCAAGCGCCCTATGAGGCTGGCATCCCGCTCCCACCCCTTCACTGTCGAAACTCCTAAATGTAGCCGTCTCTTCTACTCCAATAGCTTCATGTCTCGCACCTCTCGCCTGTGGAACTCCCTTCCCTATTCCAGTTTCCCTGAGAGCTATAATCTCCAGCTATTCAAGTGTAATGTCAATCGACATCTCCAGTTCCCTTGATCTTTCTACTACCCTCCTCCTCCTCCTTTCTTCTATCACTCCTATCTGATCTTGCTCTAAATTTTCTGTAACCCCTTGCGTCCTAGTGGCTCCCCGCCTTGCTTGGGGTGAAATGCTTAAAAAAACCCCCCAAAAAACCCAGATTTTAAAATGTTATTAGAAAGCCTTCTCTTTGTAAACAGAAGGACTTTATATTAACCCTCCAACTAATTACTATTTAATTTTTTTCTCCCACCAATAAACTTTGTTCATTGTTCTGTTTTTTTTTGTTTTTTTTTTATATAATTTACTTTATTAACCTCGATTTAGCTCTGTTGAGCGAAGTTGGAAAACGGTTAGCTCGCCTGTTTTTCGTTTTTACTTTTTATTATCATGAGTGGTAATAATAAAACTAATTTTTGTCTTTTCATGGTAGTGATAAGATTTTGTACCACCAAACATATCTTTAAATATCAGTTCTTGCACCAGTGAACAGCTGATTGGGGGCGGGGCTTTTCGAGAGCAGCTACCAGTTTTGCTTCGTTCAACCCATCGGACTTACTATTAAGATAGCTTGACTTATCACTTGTTAAATACTAAGGAGAGATTTTATGGGATATTCAAATATCCCACCATAGTAACGGTAGGTTAATGGTTTGCTGTTGCTTTGCTTACCACGGGATTGTTAATAATAATAATAATAATATTGAGGATTCAAAAATATTTTATTCGATGACGTTTCTTATTAGCTTTATCATCTTAATAATGTTTTTTAGCTTCTTAATAATGTTTTTTTTTATTTTCTAAATAATGTCTTTTATCATCTTAATGTTTTTTTTATCTTCTTAATGTTTTTTTATCTTGTTAATAATGTTTTTTTATATCATAATAATGTTTTTTATCTCCTTAATAATGTTTTTTAGCTTCTTAATAATGTTTTTTTATCTTCGTAATAATATTTTTATCTCCTTAATAGTTTTTATCTTCTTAAAAATGGTTTTTATCTTCTTAATGTTTTTTATCTTCTTAATAATCTTTTTATCTTTTTAATAATGTTTAATAACGTTCTTTATGTTCTTAAAAATGTTTTTATTTATTTCCTTAATAATATTTTTATCACGTTAATAATGTTTTTATCTCCTTAATAATGTTTTTTTATCTTGTTTTTTTTATCTTTTTAATAATGATTTTTTTATCTTCTTAATAAACTTTTTATCTTTTTAATCATGTTTAATAATGTTCTTAATAATGTTTTTATTTATCTCCTTAATATTTTTATCTTCTCATTAATGTTTTTATTTCCTTAATAATGCTTTTATCTCCTTAATAATGTTTTTTATCTTCTTAATAATTTTTATCTTCTAAATAATGTCTTTTATCTTCTTAGTAATGTTTTTTATCTTCTAAATAATGTTTTTTTATCTTCTAAATAATGTTTTTTTTATCTTCTAAATAATGTTTTTTTTATCTTCTAAATAATGTTTTTTATTTTCTTAATAATGTTTTTTGTCTTCTTAATAATGTTTTTGTCTTCTTAATATATCTTTTTATCTTAATAATCTTTTTATCTTCTAAATAATACTTTTTATCCTCTTAATAATGTTTTTATCTTTTTACTAATGTTTTTTCCCAATAATGTTTTTATCTGCTTAATAATGTTTTTTTCTTCTTAAAAATGTTCTTGTCTTCTTGATGATGTTTTTTCTTTTTCACATATTGTTTTCCACTCAGTAAGCAATTGCATCTTAGTGGTTTTAATGTCTTGCTTGTGGGGAAATGATTAAAAAAAATGATAATTATTTATATACGACGATTCCTCAGAAAATAATACTTTTTACTTTGTTATATTAGATTATGATGTCAGAAGCAGATATTGATGCTTATAGCAGCAGAACTTGAACCTGCCCTTCAATAAGTTATCGAATCTTAGCGACTTTATTGCCTTGCTTGAGATGAGAGGATAAAAAAATGAGACATTTAATAAAAGGGGTGTCTGGAATTATGATGTCCTGGGATTATTTTTCTCAAAAAAATCATGCCAGTCCGTCTATTTGAAACTCTTTAAATGTGTTTTAAAGAGTCTGTTAGAACAGCGAAAGATGTCTTCGAAAAGTTAAGCACATTAATAAGAAACATGAAAAGAGGAAATCTGATATGGCAGCAAATGTTGGACAATCTCCTCAGAGACTCCAGGTAAGGTAACGAAGATGTGGGTCTACAGAAGGATGCTGAGAATAACATGGACGGAGCGTGTAAGCAAACAAATGACTCTTAAGGAAAATGGAAAAAAAAACAGGAACTTTTATACTCGGAATCAGAGACAAACAACTGGAATATCTAGGACGCATAATGAGGAAGGAGGTCTTGGCGAATTTGACACTCACAGGACGTATAAAAATAACGAGGACCGGAGAAAGAAGCAGATGAGATAGTGCAAACGGATGGAGAGGTTTGTCGAGAGGCCTGGCAAAAGAACAAACATTGCTAACATCTAAAATGGAAAGGAGGGTTGTGAAGAGCCACGATCACGCACGTCCTGAAGACACACAGAGAAGAACGACAGGCACTGTTCCAGTCTTCAGCTTGAAATTCTTGGATATAGTGATTTCCCAAGCATAGCTTATATGTATAGGGCACCCAGTGAGGATCAAATTCACTATTCAGTCGTAATTGTTCTAGCAAGACAAGCTTGCTGGCCATTACACCTCCTCGAGGTACACCTCGCTTCCTATATATTGATTTTCCAAGCGTAGATTAGATGTGGCACAAGGCCGAAAGTATGGGGCACCCAGTGAGGATCGAACTCACTACTCAGTCGTAATTGTTCTAGCGAGGTGCTCCGAACTTCTTGGATATCTTGTCAAGGACGCAAACACGCACGACTATGTTAAGTAAGACACATTTTCCATGAAAAAGTGACCAACTTGTTTCAAGAAAAAAGTTTCCCTCCGATTCGACTCGACTCGCGTTCTTTGTCTTGAGATTGAAACCAGGTCAGGAAAGAAACGAGATGCAGAAAGACTTTACAGTAATTACTTTAAAATCGAAGACAAGTGGATAGTGCCGCTCCGAAAAGTGCCTCTCCTCAAATTTTATGTGCTTTCGTTCGCCTAAAATGGCTACAAAGCAATGAGAAGTGGACATTGAATGACGATTATTGATCCACATGTCTTTATGCTGAAGTTCTTTGCATCGAAATCGGCTAAAAGTAACCGAGAGCACTCGGTTGTATCGACGCTTCTTAACCCAATGAATCATTATCTATCTATCTATCTATCTATCTATCTATCTATCTATCTATCCCAGTTTCTTTCTTTTTTCTTTCTTTCTTTCTATACCAGTCTTTCTTTCTCTGCCTGTTCGTATCTATCTATCTATCTATCTATCTATCTATCTATCTATCTATCTATCTATCTATCCCAGTTTCTTTCTTTCTTTCTATACCAGTCTTTCTTTCTCTGCCTGTCCGCATCTATCTATCTATCTATCTATCTATCTATCTATCTATCTATCTATCTATCTATCTATCTATCCCAGTCTGTTCATGATCTATCTATCTATCTATCTTAGTCTGTTCCTATCTATCTATCTATCTATCTATCTATCTATCTATCTATCTATCTATCTATCTATCGCATTCAATTCATTATGCATCTATCTACATACAGTCACACACATATATCACAGTTTGTTCATTCATTGTTATCTATCTATCTATCTATCTTAATCAGTTCATTATACATCTATCTACACACGCACATATATATATATATATATATATCTCACAGTTTGTTCATTATCTATCTATCTATCTATCTATCTATCTATCTATTTATCTATCTATCTATCTTAATCAGTTCATTATACATCTATCTACACACACACACATATATATATATCACAGTTTGTTCATTATCTATCTATCTATCTATCTATCTATCACAGTCTGTTCATTATTTATCTATCTATCAATCTATGTAAGAGGCGTTGTTGAATGGTGATACATTTAAGGAAGTCTATCAACTTTTAACAGCGCCTCTTACTTCACTAAAGTCAGAAGTAGGGCAAGGTTTTTAATTCAATAACAATACTTACATTTATAAAGTAGGAAGCTTTTATCACTTTTAGTGACATGTAGCGGATATTCATAATTGAGTAGACGCTCCGTTTATCTATTAAATCGCATGTTTATTTATTTTTTTCCCACCGACCTAAATATTCGAGAAATCTCATCAAAGAAAAATAGGATCCGAACCTCCTGGGAAGAGGCAATCATCGTCAGATCCAACGTGCTCTAGACCGACTGAGCTACGAAGGACCTATCTACTCAGTTTGGAAGTATAACAAGACTTTTCTATGAAGAGAGTTTCTTACTCTCTGTCAGCATTACTTGGACGTGGAGTTATCATTATTTCGCTTATTTATATTTATATCTATAGTTAAATTCTTAGATCAATTTTTTGGACATGACAAATTGGTATAAGATGACAACTGGAAAAAAAATCTTAGCTTTTTGTCGACGCGTTTCGTCTTCTGACTTTTTTAAGGCAAAAATTAAATCGAAATGTAATTTGTTGTTGTAGTTACATTAATAAAATCCAAATTTAAAAAAATGAGAGACGCTTCTGTGTAAGCCTCTTTCTGGCTAATGTAAATTTCCATTATACTAAGAGTTATTTTTCTTTCTATGTTGACAATATAGTTAAATTCCCATATCAATTCTGTGGACATGACAAATTGGGAAAAAGAGTAGAAATAACGAAGGTATATTAGATAAAATAATACAAGATGTGGAAGGTGTTAGTATGACTGTCAGTCTGGTTTGGAGTGAACTACTATCGGTTCGACTCTATTCTGTATCTAGCCACCCACTACTAGGGTTGCATGAGTTTTACGTGGGTTTCCCGAGCCCATAGGCTCGGCCAAAAAATGCCCGTATGACCCGTAAAAACGAGATCGGGTTGGTCATTTCTCCCCGAACGAGATTCTGCCCTTCGGCGGAACCTCGTCCGGGTTCCTTTCTGCTCAAAAGCAGAGAGTTCGACCGTCAAGTCGAGAAGCTCGGCTTGATTCGGTATCTAGCCACCCCCCACGAGGGTTGCATGTGGCACAAGGCCGAGTTTATCGTGGGTTTCCCGAGCCCGTAGGCTCGTCCAAAAAATGTCCGTATAACCCGTATAAACGAGATCGGGTTGGTCATTCTCCCCGAACGAGATTCTGCGCTTCGGTGGAGCCTCGTCCGGGTTCCTTTCTGCTCAGAGGCAGAGAGTTCGACCGTCAAGTCGAGAAGCTCGGCTTGATTCGGTATCTAGCCGCCCCCCACGAGGGTTGCATGTGGCACAAGGCCGAGTTTTTACGTGGGTTTCCCGAGCCCGTAGGCTCGGCCACAAAATGCCCATATAACTCGTAAAAACGAGATCGGGTAGGTCATTTCACCCCGAACGAGATTCTGCCCATCGGCGGAACCTCGTCCGGGTATCTTTCTGCTCAGAGGCAGAAAGTTCGACCGTTAAGTCGAGAAGCTCGGCTTTCGGTATCTAGCCACCCCCACGAGGGTTGCATGTGGCACAAGGCTCGAGTTTATCGTGGGTTTCCGAGCCCGTAGGCTCAGGCAAAAAATTCCGTATAACTCGTAAAAACGAGATCGGGTAGGGTCATTTTCCCCGAACGAGATTCTGCCTTCGGCGGAACCTCGTCCGGGTTCCTTTCTGCTCAAAAGCAGAGAGTTCGACCGTCAAGCCGAAAAGATCGGCTTGATTCGGTATCTAGCCCACCCCCACGAGGGCTGCATGTGACACAAGGTCGTTTTTTTTTTCGTGGGTTTCCTGAGCCCGTAGGCTCAGCCAAAAATGCCCGTAGAACTCGTAAAAACGAGATAGGGTAGGTCATTCACCCCGAACGAGATTCTGCCCTTCGGCGGAAACCTCGTCCGGGTTCCTTTCTGCTCAAAAGCAGAGAGTTCGACCGTCAAGTCGAGAAGCTCGGCTTGATTCGGTATCTAGCCACCCCCCACGAGGGTTGCATGCGACACAAGGCCGAGTTTATCGTGGGTTTCCCTGAGCCCGTAGGCTCGTCCAAAAATATGTCCGTATAACCCGTAAAAACGAGATCGGGTTGGTCTTTTCACCCCGAACGAGATTCTGCCCTTCGGCGGAACCTCGTCCGGGTTCCTTTCTGCTCAGAGGCAGAGAGTTCGACCGTCAAGTCGAGAAGCTCGGCTTGATTCGGTATCTAGCCGCCCCCACGAGGGTTGCATGTGGCACAAGGTCGTTTTTATCGTGGGTTTCCTGAGCCCGTAGGCTCGGCCAAAAATGCCCGTATAACTCGTAAAAACGAGATCGGGTAGGTCATTTCACCCCGAACGAGATTCTGCCCTTCGGCGGAACCTCGTCCGGGTTCTTTCTGCTCAAAAGCAGAAAGTTCGACCGTCAAGTCCGAGAAGCTCGGCTTTTCGGTATCTAGCCACCCCCACGAGGGTTGCATGCGACACAAGGTCATTTTTATCGTGGGTTTCCTGAGCCCGTAGGCTCAGCCAAAAATTCCGTATAACTCGTAAAAACGAGATCGGGTAGGTCATTTTCCCCGAACGAGATTCTGCCCTTCGGCGGAACCTCGTCCGGGTTCCTTTCTGCTCAAAAGCAGAGAGTTCGACCGTCAAGCCGAAAAGATCGGCTTGATTCGGTATCTAGCCCACCCCCACGAGGGTTGCATGTGACACAAGGTCGTTTTTATCGTGGGTTTCCCGAGCCCGTAGGCTCAGCCAAAAATGCCCGTAGAACCCGTAAAAACGAGATCGGGTTGGTCATTCACCCCGAACGAGATTCTGCCCTTCGGCGGAAACTCGTCCGGGTTCCTTTCTGCTCAAAAGCAGAGAGTTCGACCGTCAAGTCGAGAAGCTCGGCTTGATTCGATATCTAGCCACCCCCCCACGAGGGTTGCATGTGACACAAGGTCGTTTTTATCGTGGGTTTCCCGAGCCCGTAGGCTCGTCCAAAAAAATGCCCGTATAACCCGTAAAACGAGATCGGGTTGGTCATTCTCCTCGAACGAGATTCTGCCCTTCGGCGGAACCTCGTCCGGGTTCCTTTCTGCTCAGAGGCAGAGAGTTCGACCGTCAAGTCGAGAAGCTCGGCTTGATTCGGTATCTAGCCACCCCCCCACGAGGGTTGCATGTGGCACAAGGCCGAGTTTTATCGTGGGTTTCCCGAGCCCGTAGGCTCGGCCAAAAAATGCCCGTATAACTCGTAAAAACGAGATCGGGTAGGTCATTTTCCCCGAACGAGATTCTGCCCTTCGGCGGAACCTCGTCCGGGTTCCTTTCTGCTCAAAAGGCAGAAAGTTCGACCGTCAAGTCGAGAAGCTCGGCTTTTCGGTATCTAGCCCCCCCACGAGGGTTGCATGTGACACAAGGCCGAGTTTTTTATCGTGGGTTTCCTGAGCCCGTAGGCTCAGCCAAAAAATGCCCGTAGAACTCGTAAAAACGAGATCGGGTAGGTCATTCACCCCGAACGAGATTCTGCCCTTCGGCGGAACCTCGTCCGGGTTCCTTTCTGCTCAAAAGCAGAGAGTTCGACCGTCAAGCCGAAAAGATCGGCTTGATTCGGTATCTAGCCACCCCCCACGAGGGCTGCATGTGACACAAGGTCGTTTTTATCGTGGGTTTCCTGAGCCCGTAGGCTCAGCCAAAAAATGCCCGTAGAACTCGTAAAAACGAGATAGGGTAGGTCATTCACCCCGGACGAGATTCTGCCCTTCGGCGGAAACTCGTCCGGTTCCTTTCTGCTCAAAAGCAGAGAGTTCGACCGTCAAGTCGAGAAGCTCGGCTTGATTCGATATCTAGCCACCCCCACGAGGGTTGCATGTGACACAAGGTCGTTTTTATCGTGGGTTTCCTGAGCCCGTAGGCTCAGCCAAAAAAATGCCCGTAGAACTCGTATAAACGAGATCAGGGTAGGTCTTTCACCCCGAACGAGATTCTGCCCTTCGGCGGAACCTCGTCCGGGTTCCTTTCTGCTCAAAAGCAGAGAGTTCGATTGTCAAGCCGAGCTCGGCTTGATTCGGTATCTAGCCACCCCCCCCCACGAGGGTTGCATGCGACACAAGGTCATTTTTATCGTGGTTTTCCTGAGCCCGTAGGCTCAGCAAAAAATATGCCCGTATGACTCGTAAAAACGAGATCGGGTAGGTCTTTCACCCCGAACGAGATTCTGCCCTTCGGCGGAACCTCGTCCAGGTTCCTTTCTGCTCAGAGGCAGAAAGTTCGACCGTCAAGTCGAGAAGCTCGGCTTGATTCGATATCTAACCACCCCCCCACGAGGGTTGCATGTGACACAAGGTCGTTTTTATCGTGGGTTTCCTGAGCCCGTAGGCTCAGCCAAAAAATGCCCGTAGAACTCGTATAAACGAGATAGGGTAGGTCTTTCACCCCGAACGAGATTCTGCCCTTCGGCGGAACCTCGTCCGGGTTCCTTTCTGCTCAAAAGCAGAGAGTTCGACCGTCAAGCCGAGAAGCTCGGCTTGATTCGGTATCTAGCCACCCCCCCACGAGGGTTGCATGCGACACAAGGTCATTTTTATCGTGGGTTTCCTGAGCCCGTAGGCTCAGCCAAAAAATGCCCGTAGAACTCGTAAAAACGAGATCGGGTAGGTCATTCACCCCGAACGAGATTCTGCCCTTCGGCGGAACCTCGTCCGGGTTCCTTTCTGCTCAAAAGCAGAGAGTTCGACCGTCAAGCCGAAAAGATCGGCTTGATTCGGTATCTAGCCACCCCCCCACGAGGGTTGCATGTGACACAAGGTCGTTTTTATCGTGGGTTTCCTGAGCCCGTAGGCTCAGCCAAAAATATGCCCGTATGACTCGTAAAAACGAGATCGGGTAGGTCATTCACCCCGAACGAGTTTCTGCCCTTCGGCGGAAACTCGTCCGGGTTACTTTCTGCTCAAAAGCAGAGAGTTCGACCGTCAAGCCGAAAAGATCGGCTTGATTCGGTATCTAGCCACC